AGAAAATTAAAAATAAATCTACTATCTTCTTGACTCACCGTGATCAAAGTGGGGAAAAAAAATTGTGTCAACAGCAGCAGAACTACGGTCACGCTGAACTGTTCACATGTGGAACACGACACCAGTGCAAGCAGCAAAGTGGGAACGGGTCACGGATCAGCGCTGAGCCTGTGGCACCACTCGGGCGGGACGTCCTTCCCGGGCCCTGTGCAGAGCCACCTCGGACGCACCCCTCCTACTCAGGAACGCTGGTGGGACATGTCGGCAGTATCTTAGTCAACAGGACAGTTAATCCTCACGCCTCAGACCGAGCATCTGAAATACAACTGACTGATGGGCCCTTGCCTCGCATTAGAGAAAGGAACCAACATCCTGCACCTGAGGAGGAATAACCTCAGGAACCCGTACAGCTTAGGGGTTGACCTGCTGGAAAGCAGCTGCGCAGAGAGGGATTTGGGAGCCCTGGTTGACAAGAAGTTAACCATGATTCAGCAATGTGCCCTCGTGGCCAAGAAGGCCAATGGGATCCTGGCCTGCATGAGGAGGAGTGTTGCCAGCAGGTAGAGGGAGGGGATCCTGCCCCTCTGCTCAGCTCTGGTGAGGGTGCACCTGGAGTATTGGGGGCAGTTCTGGGCTCCCCAGTGCAGGAGGGACGTGGAGCTTCTACAGAGGGTCCAGCGTAGAGTAAAAAGGATGATTAAGGGACTGGAGCATCTATCATATGAGGAAAGACTAAGCAAGCTGGGCCTGTTTAGCCTAGAGAAGTGAAGATTGAGAGGGAATCTGATCAACATGTACAAATACCTGAGAGGAGAGTGTAGGGAGGATGGGGTCAAACTCTTTTCCATGGTGGCTGGTGACAGGACAAGAGGTAATGGGTCTAAGTTGAAACACAGGAAATTCCACCTCCATGTGAGGAAGAACTTCTTTCCTGTGAGGGTGACAGAGCCCTGGAACAGGCTGCCCAGAGAGGCTGTGGAGTCTCCTTCTGTGGAGATCTTCCAAACCCACCTGGATGCCACCCTGTGCCACGTGCTCTAGGTGTCCCTGCTGGAGCAGGGGGGTTGGACTAGATGATCTCTAGAGGTGCCTTCCAACCTCAACCATTCTGTGATTTTCACATACAAATTACTTATTTGATCACCAGCATGGTCCTGTACCCTGATTTTGTGGTTACCCACTTCCAGAACCTTGGAAATCATTGTGCATAATAAAAGATATAATGTCAAAGATTTTAAAAAGGAGGGAGGGGAAGAAAAGAGAGCTCTCCTTCCCAGCAGGATGCTTTGGGGAGCATCCTCTCATGCTCTCTGGTGCGCTTCCTATCCTACCCTCAGCTCTGCTGCTGCGGGTAAAAGGTTATACGTGCACTGGCCAGCAGGTGATGCTAAAATACCTCTGAGGGAAGGAAGAGCTTAAAGCACGTTTTCCTTGGAAGCGCCGGGCTCCTGGTACACTACAGGGCTGCACTATCACACACACCCAGCGAGCTGGGGCTGCGTCTTGCGGCACCTTTGGTTTGCAAGGAGTTGGGCCGCTACCCTCAGCTCCTCAGCAAAGAGCCCCAGAAAAGAAAACTCATAGCGGGGGCCTTACAATAACCAACCTATAAATGGCATTTCACAGCCTTAGCCTGGTGCCATGCGCCCCTGCATGTACATGTGCACCCAGCGTACACCCGAGAGAAGACAGGAAGCACTTCAGGAGTCAGCTTCATGCTGATATCTAAGTAGGTTCCTATTAACTGTCTGCTAAAGGAGGAACAGTAGGACACTGAGAATAGAAGCAACGCCAGAGGGGAATTGTAGGAAATGGTGCAATTAGGTGAAGACCAGAACATCTCTGCCCACATTATCTTCTTTCCTGTAAGAAAATACTCAGTTATGATGTCCTCCAAAAGCACATCATGAGGGTCAAGAGCATCATCAGAAAAGAAGTTAGCTTCCAGAGAAGCAGTAACTGCAAGGAAGAAAGGGATGCAAAGGCGGAGATGAAATTGCTCTCTGCTCAGTATGCCACATCCTCTAAACGATGAGCAGCAATTTGCACACGGGAGCAACGAGGGCTTTGGGAGAGAACTAACTTGGATGAACTTCTCATCTGGGGAGCAAGGACTTCATGGAAACTCACAAAGAGGAGGAACAGCTGCTCCTAGTCATCTGCCCCAATGCTGAACACATGGAGGACAGCGTTGGCTCCATGGCACAGTGTCACCATCACCTGCCTCCCGTGCCAGCTGAGCTTGCCCAGATTCTACCTGGTTGTCCAGGGGCAGATGTTGTCCAGCCCATCTCTCTTAACTCAAGGCTCGGTATTTTGGCCTTTACCGGTATCAGTGAAACGTTTTTTTTTTTTCTCATCTTTCAGTGTTTGATTTGTATCATGTCAGCTCCGTCTGAAAAAGGACTTTTGTTTCCTGTTGATTCAAACAGCTCATTCCGATTAGTGAAGTTCTGAGAGCCTCAAAGTTCGCAGGCCCTGGCCTGAATTCCACCCTCTTCCGCCCTCTCCTCCTCAAGACATATTTCAGAGGAAAAAAAAAAAAATGCAGGCACCACACACAACAGCACTAAAATCCTCCCCTCTGCAAAGGGACACCATGGCAGAGAAGACAGAGCTACGCTACCCTTCGAGCTCCCACTCCAACCACCAGACAGCCTCTGCATCCCTTCCTAGCACCCAATGTAGGCTTCCTCTTCCACCCACAAACATCCAGTTTGTCACGAGTGCTTGACCAAGAGCACCAGCTTTTTTAAAAAATCGATTCTTCAGGTTTAAGATTACTTACCAGCTAGTGAAAGCTGGACACTGCTCTGAAATCGTTGCCTCCACATTTGCTTTGCCTTCATGCAGCTCAACATTTTTTTTCCTACTTCTTGAACTTTTGACTCATTTACATTTTCTTAGAAATCTGTGCAGTGAGGACATTTTAAAGAAAATGCCTCACAGTGTAGGAAAATTGTAGAAGAGGCCTTATTTTGAAAGTTTAAAGGAAACTCCCCGCTTCTCAAGTGAGCTGAGGCTCAGACAATGTACACAGAATATTTTGATCCTCTCATCCACACCAGAAGCTCTAAATACTGGAAATATTCCGAGACCTGAATGGGTTTCTAGGGATGGAACAACTTGAGGACAGATCCTCTGTAAAATCTCTGATAGGGTAAATTTTCTGGGTTACCTCAAATACTGTCCACCAAAGCCCGGCCATTTCAAGCTCCCAGTTACATATATTACAAGCAAAGTCAGCCTGGGAATGTGGGCATGCAGTAGGTTTAGATTCCAAGAAATCATACTGTTCACAAAGCACATTTAAAGGTGAAAATAAGATATTTTAAGAAGCAGTTGTGGTTTGTCAACTAGTCTGAGGGAGAAAAGGGAAATATAGTGACAGGCTTCAAATTCCTATGCAAACTCTACTGATGAAGCCACTTACACAGATTCTTAAGCATGTATGTGTAGGTACTTCACAAGAATCTGCTCCCTACCTTGAAATGCAGCATCTGTGACAGTGATATTGCAATAAGGCATGTGACCAGCTCATGCTCTCGAGCTGCACGTTCCACCTGTGCAAGTGCCGGTGACGCCGAGCGGCGGGTGCACGTGGAGCAGGCGACCACAGGAACACTCAGCGCTGCGCCCTCCAAAACCTGCGCCGAGGGCCTGCCCCACAGCTCTCACCATGAGCAGGGCGCAGCCCCCAGCCCCACCGGCCTCTCCCGTTTTGCCCATGCAGCAGGGAAGCCTCGGCTGGGGTCTGTGTCGGCCCCCCGGGAAGGGCCCTACTCCAGCAGGGAGCGCGTCCGGGAGGTGAATAAGGACAGGCTGCCTTAAACAAAGATAGTTTTATTGGATTCCATATTCAAGCATCATTAGGTTAAGGTCTTTTAGAAAAGTGAACCAATAAAGAGAAAAAATAAAAATAAAAACCTTTATGAATGACAAACTGGTACATGCAGTTTAACCTGAAATAAAGTTCTTGTGGACTTGTGAAAACATGCCAAAAGTCTAACAGAAACTAAGTTACTGAACAAGGTATGAACAAATCACTCCATCTGCAAAAGTAGTGAATGCAGGTTGAACTCTAGTCATCCAAAGTTGACATTAGTCTTTTGATATAAGGCAAAAATAGTCATCTCTGGTTTTTAACCTGTGTCACATACAATCAGCAATAGCTGCCACATCAAATACGCATCATGGAGATCTTTTAAAAGCACGACCAGCAGCGGGTGCCGACTCGCGCATTAAGATCCTCTCAACATCCCAACGACTCCATTCCAAACGTTAGGAAAGAGCCCAGCCGGGCTCAGTGCTGCAGAGGGTATGTGGGAAGCGTGTGTAGAGCCCCTCTCCGTGCCACAAACACGGCTCAGTGTTCAAGTCAGGGAGCACAAGTAACTGCATTGCTTGCGGATTTAAAGGTGTGCCAATATACATTAATCAGCCACGGAAAATGCCATATGCAATTTTTAAGCATCCCTCATCAGTATAATTATATTTACAGATTTTTATGAACTTATATGTATTGACCCATCAAGGACATTTTTACAATATTTATTAGATTATGAATTTATAAATTCAAGGACTCAGAGGCACATAGTTTAAAAGGCCAAGAACACCGAAACTAATGAAATCACAGAAATCTGAATATTTATGGACATAATACCAGTAAAAAATAAAAATCACATCCAAACTAAAAGCAACACATCTTAAAGAGTCATCCTTCAAAGTCAGCATAATAAAAAGTCTCATTTCCCTCAAAGAAAAATAGTTCATCCCACCTACCAAGCTAGAAAATCCTATTTACAGTTGTACTTTAATCAGAAGTATCATTAAGTTGTTTAATACAGCCACTTCTTTTCTGCTGTTAGAATTTAACATTTCTTTTAAAGTATAATTGTATTTACAAATGCATAAATATCCTAACTCTGATCTTCATTAAGATCTGAATGAAAACAGGTTAAATCACAATACAAACGTGTTAGTGGAAAAAGTGTTTGGGGCAGCTGCATATTCAGTATCATTCTCAAAGAACAGGAAGCCAATACTTCTGATAAAGTCCAGGTTCATCAGCTAGACCAGGTCTTTTAAGTTATGTTAATGAAGATCAAACCTCCTCTGTGATAATTCTTTACACTGGTTTCTTCAGTCAACTTTTACCACACTGTAAATTTTGGTTACAAACCAAAAGCATGCAAAGAATCCAATTGTCCCTAAAAAAGAAGAAAAAAAGTGTTGGGACAATGTGCATAGGAGACAACCTCAATTTCTACCTATAGTTTGTAAATTAGGATATATGCACATGCAATCCCCTTCCTTTAGTCCTCAGTGCATCCAACAGATCAGATGGTTTAAATTTACACTGACAGAACAGTCTTTGTAGCCTCCAACACCTCTGTGAAGTATCTCATTATTTTCACAGTCCCTGAGCTTATCCCAGGTAGGCCTCTCGGTGCTCCTTCTCTTCCTCTATGTTTTCTTCGTTGCTTTCACTACTGCCCAGCTCAGCTCTTGCACACTGCTACATTTCATCCCTCTTCACTGACTAGTTACACACAGTAACTGACCTGCTCAACTAGGCAGAACAGCAACATACATGTAACACTCCAACTACGTTAGCAGCATCAAAAGGGTTTCCTATTACTTAGTTTGCATCAAGGTCTTGGGAAATTACAGCACTGCACTTACCCCTGCTTAAATCAAATTAATACAATTTTCAGAACATGGTGAAGTTAGTGGAACTTGCATCTCCTGCAAAAAAAAATCTATTTTGCATACCTCAAAATAAGCTCATCTAAATGCTTATGAGTCAAAAGGTGTAAGCAAACTTGAACTGAAACTGAAAAGTGAAGTTTGTTCCCCTAATTATAAGCCTTTTAGCTGAAGCAGAATTAGCTGCATCCCTTCTCGTTGTGCAGATCCAACAGATAATTACTCTGCGTTTGAAGAAATTGTTAATATAGCTGGTTTTCTTTCAGTCTAACCATATTCTTTCCAAATACGGTCCTCCAAAATCTTTCCAAATTCAGTCCAAAGATAATGGACCCAAAAGCAGTTCCAACCACCTGTCAGGGGAACCTTTATTTCCCACAAGAACTAGGGCAGGAACAAAGCCCTGAAGATGATCTGATTTTTGCTTGAGCACCTCAGCTAACATCACCATTACCTCCTGTACAAGTTTAGGGTAAGCTCTAAAAAACAAACAAGCAAAGAAAAAAAAAAAAAAAAAAAAAAACACTGCCTTTTAAATTTACTGTTCGAGAAGCAGCACAATAAGGAGTTGTGCGCCAACATATTCACTACAAAAGCCTGCAAGGAACCATGAATGATATCAGTGTTTTTTTCTTTCACGCTCGCTAAGCCACTGATGTTTGACTGACTCATTTACAGCGATTCGTAGCTCTGGTCCCAGCTGCAGTCCCGGGATCCTGCCCGCCGGGCCTGGGCAGTGACCTGGAAGGCGGCAGGCGCCCGGAGCACGCGCTGCCCTCGGGAGCACGCGCTGCCCTGCGCAGCGGCAGGGGCCGCCCCGGCCCGGCCTCGCACTGACTGCCGCAACAGATGAGTAAGCAGCAGCACAACAGCTCCGATGCAACGATTACCATCTTCTCTTTTTAGCTCCTTTATTGTTTTGACACAGGAAGTCAGTTGCCTTTAGGAGCCATTTCTGCTAAATTGCTGGTGTGCTATTTCATTTAAGAACCTGAAGCATGGCCTGTCTCCTCACTCTGCCCCTACCTTTTTCTGTGGTCTTAAAAAGCACTTCAAAAAATAGAGAGAAATGAATGTATTTGCAAAGAAATTTAGCATACCAAGCCAAATGGACAAACTTATTCAAGACTAAAGAAACATTACTGTTCTCAAATTAAAGGATTATCTGCACTTAACCTGGGGTGGGGAAAGTACAAAGAAGTCTCAAAGTATAAGAGATCTCAAAGGTTTTGACACCTTTCATCTGTATCCTCACCTAATTTGAGCACTGAAACCAAAATTTTCCACCAAGGAAAGTATCAGACCCCAGCAGTTTAGTCTGAGCTGCAGAGCACAGCTTGTATTTCCGCTGCTCCCACTACAAACAAGCAACAGCTGCCGAGAGTGTCCAAGATGCCTTGGATGAACCCCTGCCCTCGCGCCCCTGGGAGCCTGTCCTGGAAAGGGCTCCCCACACCTGACGGCAGACACAGCACCAACAGCGGGCGGCTGCTGCCAGGGGACACGAGGGCAAAGGAAGAGAGGCAGCACCAAGCACCTTAGCGCCTTCCCGTGATGCCAGGCGACAGGACAGGCTTGCGAGATTAGAGGCAAATGGAAGAGGGAATTTGTGGGGTGTCTCAGGTGCAAATGCCACGTAAATCCACATCAGGGCTTCAGGAGACATTCAGCCTCACCATAAATGTGGAGCTTTCAATCATTTCAAGCAAATCTCAGTTCAAATGAGTTTTAAAAATGCCGCTCTCACCGCTAAGTCCACAAAGACTGTCCACGTGTTTCGCTGGGCGCAATACAGCGTTTTCAAGGTTTTGGAGGAGGTGCAAGTTGGCACCAAGTGGGGGCCTGTTTATCACACCTGCGACTGCAGGTTCCTTTTCAATATTAAGGATGGCAAAGGGAAGATTTTGGCACCTCATCTCACTCACTAAAGAGTGAGTCAATACAACTCTAAGATGGGTGCTTTTTCTGGAGCTGACAAATAAGATATTTCTGATACAATCTTATCAGAACTTTGCATAAATAATTCTCTTGCCCTTCCCTATCACTTTATTAGTACAACTAAGAAAGCGGTTAAAAACTGCAGTAGAGAAAACACAAAAAAGTCCTCACTGTCAACTTTTCCTCATCTTTTCCTTTCCCTCTATCCCACATAAGTTGTCATCTATTTTTAATTGCCAGTGTAACTTTAGACCTAATATTTTGCGAAGTTTCTCTCTCTCTCTCTCTCGAAGAGAATTAACTTGAAAATGGAGTTTGTCACATGACTAATACAGGATGAAATCTGGAGAACAATTTATCTCGTTTGAAGAAGTCATATTTGAAGATCCAATCGTGGGCAACTCCCCAGACAGGCAGTTCACTTATGCCTCCTCTCCATTTTGTCTCTTTCATTAGATTTTTGCCATCACAGTTGCAAAATGCAACAGAACCTGTTCAGCAGAGTTAGACTATATACTAATTTAGACTATATACTAATTTGTGCTCCTGAATCAAGGTAAGGGTTCTCCTGTACAAAGCTAAAGTTAGACTCAATGTTTAAGCAAGAGTCAATACACTTACCTGTGAAAAGGAAGAAAATCAAAACCATAATCATGGTATAACCGAAGTACAAAATGGTACTAGCTGTTCCTGTGATTTGCAGTTTAGAAAAAAAATAATGTATTGCATATATTAAGAAATAAACTGCAGTGAAACCACTAGTGAGAAATGAACGCCACTGCCAGTGATAGTCCTAGAAGCAGGTGGGAGAAAAAGAAAAAAAAAATGTGTGAGGAACATGTCAAATACCTCTAACACCCTGATCATCTTAGCAAACACAGCACTACAAGGAAACAATCTGTTATCACTTTACCCAAAAGTTAATTTTCACAGTGCTTGTATACATACAAAAACTACATACAATAGCCAGTTCTGCTTTAACTGAATCGTTCGCAATTGGAGATAAGAAAGTGAAACATCAGTATCAATCAGCAGAAATCTAAAAACCCAAACAGTCACATAAGTCAGGCCTGCTGCTGCCAGCCAGAGACTCTTCTGCAGCTTGAGGGCGTGCCAAAGTGCACATAGATTAAGCAAAGCTAATGTGCTAGTTATCACCTTCAGGTGATATCACCTTCAGGTGAGCAATCTGACTTAGCAGTATTCAGCACAGGGTTTTAACATTCATTACAGGTTTTACCAAAAGTAGCCTGAATTTGCTTTACTTTCTAAAACACACGCTTCAAAGACATCTTGTAACTATATTTAACCCTGTAATACTTATTTCCTATTATCAAAACCTTTAAATTATGTTTAAATACCCTTTAAGCAGTATTAAACATTAACACTGAAGAACATTACTTACCTCTGCACATAGATGGAAGTAGCAGAGCAATATTGTGGCTTCAGAACATGTAATAACCAAAATAATGAACACCAGAAACAGGAAGCCAAACATGTAATACATCTGGTGAGACCTGTAAGAGGGTTTCCAAAAATTACTATTTAAAATGGCCAATATTCTTCTAATATGGTTTCTTCATATGCAGTAATATCATCACTTCATTTCCTTTCCTACTGAGGTCCTGTCACTGGTGCAGTCCTACAGTGGACTCATTTTCTTTCTAAATGAAGACTATGACCCTCAGCATCTGTGGTCTCCAAACTGTGAAGAAGCAATTCCCAAACACCCCTCAGGTATTTGGGGTTTTAGGAAGTAACTGACTGGACATAACAGGTGAAATTATGGTTCCAGTGAAGTCACTGTGACCTCTTCCAGTGACACCAGCAGAACTTGGATTTCACCTCACATTTCAATCAAAGGGGCAGAGTTGCAAAATAAGAAATGTCAAGTGCTGTGGATTTGTTTGCTGGACACAGGCACCTGTTCAAGGTTCAGAAACAGTTTAAAGAGATCCAATAACTAAATTGTGCCAGAAGGAAGGCAAATTCCTCACAGTAGATTTAGTTTGTCAGTGTGCTATTAGCTCACGTCAGAATTCACTTACACTGAACCAGTCTTCAGTGGGTTATTTCCCACTTTTAAAGGAATTACTTCCCAGTGCCTTTCTGAAGATTTAGGAAGTTTTTGGTGTTTTGTTTTTCTCAGTGCAGCAACAAGACTTTTCTAGCCTAACAAAATACTTCAGCCAATTTTAAGATATTTGCTATTCTCAATTTACACACAGTATGTCAGCTTCAGAGCCACTCCCACACAAAGTCAGAAAGGCAGCATGAGAAACCCAGCTATTTGAATACTGTAGCTCAGCTGTAGATGGCTAAGCTCATCACAGCCACTTCTCTGCCCATGGGGACAAGCAACACAGGCACTGGATACCTTCTAACCCACAAAACATTAGTGTGACATATTCACATTTTTGTCAGCATCCTGACATGTTACATCCTGAGTAACTCCTCAGACCCACCCCCCCCCAACAAAACAAAACAAGAAATATCCAGTAGATAGATTTTCACAGAGAAATCACAATTTTGTGTGATAAAAGTTGAACTGGATTGCAGTTAACTTACCAAATACTATTAAGTATGAAGAAGAGCTGTATGAAGATGCACCCAAAAGGCAGAATACCTCCCATGACAATGCCAGGTAAGGGCTTTGTATAGAATGATTGCTCAGGAATCTGCCGGGGGATTTGATTTGTGCGAACGGGGTGCTCGATAGCCTTTAAACGAGAATAAGAGACTGCTGAATAAGTAACAAGTCAAAGCACATCAACTTTTTCCTGTCTTTTGGAACAGAAGAAAAGCAGAAGTTTGCTTCTGGCAAGTTTATTACTGCTTGTATTGAAAATACATCCATCTAGCACTATACATCTCATTTGCAACAGGCACTGGTACCTTGATCTGCAGATCAAACTATTTAAGAGAGACCTTGGAGAAAACAGGGCAACTAATATTTTGGTCTTCGATTAAGTCATCAGTAACTGCTACAGAGCCTGAGTTCATTTTCCACTTTTCAACTTGGGAATAGTGGTGGTGTAGGCTGATTTCTCTTCTAAAAATCACCTCTGCATGTTATTCTTCAGGGCATAATTTAAGAATCACATCAGGGTAAATGAACAAAGTGAGAGGATTAAATCTGACATGGATTTAAGCTGCATGCACAGATCAGCATGGTGGGAGGAAAAATTTATGGTGGGAGGAAAAATTTATGCCAGATAAATGAGCACTTTGTCATCTTTCCCCTTCCTTACAGATTATATCAGAAACACCAAGTCTGGCCAGGTACTTCTTTTCTTGTTTCAGTTTTAACATATTTATCATATTTTTTACATTGTCTTGCGATTTAGCAAATTGTCCATTTTAAAAGTAGCTGTTTTATAAGGCAGTATTTTTGCTGGAAATCCATCTTGTCTATCAGGAAAAAAAAAAGTTCTGAATTCCAGTCAAGTAAAATGGAATAAGAACAATCAATCTGTATCTACATTATCTATAGAAATTCCGAAGTACCTTAACGAGACTGACTTTAGCATTACTTCATTTGTAGTCTATAACAGCACGTGCATGCACACACACTTGCAAAATAATTTATCTTCAGAAAAGCACTTACATTTTTCTTAAAACCAAAATAGGCACCGATAAAGGTCAGTGGTACAGATATGCAAAACCAGAGCGCCAAAATAGCAACCAGAGTACCAAACGGAATAGCCGCTGAAGAGCCCTCTCCCCACAGAATGAGGTTCATGATAAAAAAATCTGCAAATACAATTCTGAAAAACAGAAATATTCAAAATTTAATAATGTTGGCAATAGCACCACGTTAAGATTTTACTGCAATCTGTGTTAAAACCGAGTGACATGCATAAAATATCACAATGAAGAAGTCAAGCTAGCCCTTCTGTCTTAATCTGGTGGGATTGAACTCCAGCAGGAGCTGACGTTCCGACTAAGCAGTCTCAAACACAGACTTGTCTTAACTACACTTCAGGGTAAGGCTTCTTGCTGTGGCTAAGAAGGAAAATCTAGCACAAGGGTTATACAGTATATGACACCATATAGGACCAACTACGGCGTGGTTGGAGAAACAGCCCAAAGAGTACAAGAGAAATGGATGGAAAAGTGTGCCTGTCTGAAACTCTCTGTCACATTGCGCTTACTTAATTAACCTTTTCAGAATCAAACAAAAAGCTTACAGGAAGCTTAATTAACCTTTTCATGTGTCAGAATCAAACAAAAAGCTTACAGGAAAAAAAACCCTCCGAGGATGATATGCCATTAACGTATTTATCTTTGTCAACTGCACCTTGGTGTTCTCATGGCTTCTGGAGCAAAGGGATGATGCCATAAGATTTATTGTATAGCTGAAGCTCAAAATTAGTTATGCATGTCAGAAAAGCAATTTAATTCTTTTAATCATGGCTATATTCTGACTTACCCAGGACAAAGGAATGATGTCAGCAGGACATTTGTTTTCCATTTCTCGCCTCCAAATGCTATATTAAAATATTTGACAGTCATCAAAACACGCATTAAGCTCACAACTATTAATTTTCCAGTCCATTTAGCTGTTATACAATAATTTGCTATCATGCCCAAGTTTAAAACAGTACACTACATATTTAGTTAGGCAAATTAGTTTCCCACATCATATTGCTCAATCACAGAGCTTCAAAACAAAGAAAGCCACAAACCAAGGTCAGGAAAAGTATCTGAATAAACAAGTTGGGCCTCTGACCAGTTTATCTTTCTATGTTAAAATAAAGAGAAAGATTTGCGGCGTGTGCTTAAGACTTTAAAAACAGTATAAACCCTGAGTGTTTAAGTAGTTTAAGCTTTCCAACACTTGGCTGCAGGTCTGAGTAGGAAAAAAAAATAAAGAAAAAGCAAGCTTAACAGTTAATAAGGGAAAAGTGAGCTTAACAGTTATCTTCAAATTCTTTTTGCCCAAGAATCTTGCAAGCAAGTCAGGACCAACAAGCTTACAGGGAACAGTAAGACTGGTAGTCTTAAAGCAATAAGCACTGGTGGTATCACAAGACCAAAGATAAGCTTTATTAAAAAATATATCTCTATGACTTTGTTCTACACCAATAAGAATTCTAGTCAGCATTCTTTCAAAATTAAAATATCCTGCTGGAATTCAGTGAAGCTGACAATTTCATCTGAGCAGCATCATAATGATAGGCTTTTTATTTGAAGAGTCAGAAGTGATTGTGACTAGAGTGATTTTAATTAGGTTTCTATCCCTTCATAAAACCTTGGCAGAACCCAGCACTGATTAAGATTAACCATTTATTTTCAATCAGGCTTCTCTTTAAATGTAACATTAACAACAACAAACCTAAAAAGAGATTGTATTTTGTTTCATATGTTCCACAGTATTTTATTCATATAGCACAAGAAGAAACATTCATGTTTACATTCTCTACACAGTAGATGCCCACCAATTGCCATGGATGCCCAGCACACCTTTGGAGCAGTGCCTGCCTCACTAAAAAAAATTCAAGTATCAACTAAATGATTGTCAATAAACACAATATGAAACACTATTACTAGCCACATCCTCACCAGAGATAAATCTGTTTACCATCATCCTATTACAAAGCCTTTTCAAAATACAAAACACCCAGCATGATGTAAGAGCCCTTCTGTTTTAAGCTATGCCTTTAGTCCTGAAGTTTCACTCCACTAAAGTCTGATTGACTTGAAGAGCAGGACAAGGGAATATTTTACAACCTCATCACCACCACTGTAGAAAAATTCTCTACGAAATACTAACCTCTTTCCCCAATGTTATTCCTAACATGAAAATTGCATAATGGTCAGGAGAAACTGAGGGGCTCCAAACCCCACAGTCAAGTCACAGTTCAGAAACAGATTCCCTTCCTAGCTCAGTCACATGTAATTCAGCCCAAAAGCTCTAGCTTAGTCATGAACAGTCTTTTACCTTAAATAAGGTAGGTAAAACAAGCTGTAGGTGGATTGGCATGCTCTACCTTAGAATAAAGCTAAGGGGAGAGACACAAACCACTGCAAATTTGTAGGTCTTGAAATGCTAGCTAAGTGGCATCTACTGAAAAAAATAGTAGCAACCATTATCAGGGTGGATACCACTGGCTGGACTAGCTGTGCCACTGCTACAGAACTACTTTTTTCCTTCCGTCTGACCAGTACCAGCCTCCCAAGCAGCTGGAAACAAGCTAATACTGACAACCAACTAAAATCTCAG